GTCTTGATACCACCCCCCAAAATTTAGAGGGGTGCGGAAGAGCCTCAGTCGGGCACAGAGGAGCAGAGTCGCCTGCCCGAGAAGCCTTTAAGGGGGGTCTCGAAGTCTTCACCCCCAGAAAGACCTCAGGATGTGGGGGACTGGAGGGGCACCCCCAACCAGCCCTGGGAGGCAGGCGGCGGTGCGCAACCTCCCGCGCGCTCCTTCTTGCGCCGCGGAGATACCATCCCCAATCGGACCCCAGAGCCGCGTTCCGGGAACCCCGACTTGCTGACCCCCGACGCGCTCCCCGGGGATCCCGCAGCCAAGGACCCCCGCGCTGCCCAGGCCCGGGGCGGCCGGCCGCCGCCACAAAGAGTCAAAGAGCTGGACGACCCCTCTTGCGCGTGCCACCCGCCGACCTCCGGCAGGCGCCGCTGCCCAGACCGCGCCCAGCCGGATGCCGCCTTTACCTTCTCCACCGGCGGTGCGTCCGGATCACGGACCGCCCTAAGCCTCAGCTCGTTCATGCTGGAGACTCCGGGGCAACGTCGCCGAGAGCGAGCAGCGCAGCCGCCCGAGCCGGAAGCTCAGCGCGGGCGCGGGCGGGCGCGGAGTGCGCGCGGCTGAGCCCGCTCTGCCTCAGCAGCACACAGCTCCGCAACAGCTCACAGGCCCCAGAGCAGCCGGGCCGCCAGCCCTTGACCTCGGCCCCGCCCAGCGGCGCCACCACCCTTTCACCGGGGCGGAGCACAGTGGGCCTCCACCCGCCCCGCTCACCCCGCTCGCTCGCCAGGACCCGGGAGCGAGCGCGCACGCGCACCGGGACATCCACCAATGGCGGGAACCCGCCAGGGAGGCTGGGCAGTGAGGGCGGGGCGGAGTAGATAGGCGTGCATTGGACAGCAACGTGAGGGGGCGGGGAAAGGCGTGCGTTTCCGAGGAAGACTAGCCAATGAGAGCTCCCGCCAGGCCGCGGAGGGCGGGCGCTGGCACCCTAGGTCCGGACCTAGAGATAACGGGTTGCTGGAGGTGAGAGGCGGCAGCGCAGGGGCTGCATCTGGGCCAGCGCTTTGCCTGCCGCTCTGGGCTTTGGGTCCCGCTTGTAGACACTCGTTGAGTCCTGAGTGAAAAGGCCTGGGGAGCCCACTGTGTAAGAGGCGGTCGTCACGTGATAAGGAGGTGAAACCCAAACTTAAGTCTGCATCGTTTTGCAAAGTTGTCTCTAGTACTTACTGAGCGTTAATTATGTGCTAGGCACTGAACCAAGTAATGGCTTAAGTCTATCTCATTTAATATGCACAAAGCTTGGCAGAGAAGATCTTCCGCGTTTTTTCAAATTTCTGTCTTTTGGGCCTGTTTTGGACAGTAATACTGCCAACTTTGTTCACAGCCAAATCCCTTATGTACTTGACACAGCTTAAGTATTTGTTGAAAGGATTTAAATTTTCTCCTAAAGGAAAATTATTTAACCAAGGTTTCACAACTAGAAAGTGTCCACTAAGAATTGGAACACAGATCTGATTCTTTTACATATTTAGTTATTGATTTCAGAGAGGAAGGGAGAGTGAGAGAGAGGGAAACATCAATGATGAGAAAGAATCACTGATTGGCTGCCTCCTACAGCCCCCCACTGGGGATTGAGCCAGCAACCCAGGCATGTGCTCTTGACCAGAATTGAATCTGGGACTCTTCAGTCCACAGGCCAATGCTCGATCCACTGAGCCAAACCGGCTAGGGCCAGATCTGATTCTTACCAAAGCCCATACTAACCTATGTTGCTTAAGCATCGCCTCCGGTGGTCCTCATTCGCTGCCTTGTGATGTAAAACAAGTATAAAATGAGGTTTATGTCCTTAAGCATATTGTAATTTAACAAGGAAAGAAGCTTGCACACAAAAGAATTACGGTTTCTTATAAGAAATTTTTATCTGAACTGTGGGTTTTGGAGAAAATATAATTCTAGCCCTAACTGGTTTGGCTCAGTGGATAGAGCGTCGGCCTGCGGACTGAAGGGTCCCAGGTTCGATTCCAGTCAAGGGCATGTACCTTGGTTACGGGCACACTCCCAGTAGGGGGTGTGCATGAAGCAGCTGATCAATGTTTCTCTCTCATCCATGTTTCTAACTCATCGATGTTTCTAACTCTCTATCCCTCTCCCTTCCCCTCTGTAAAAAATCAATAAAATATATTTTTTTAAAAAGAAAATAGAATTCTAGATTTCTGTTAGAGCATATTTCCAAGTTCCTGTTAACAGTCCTTCACAGTGACAGTAAAATGGATGTGGAAGAACACTGAACACAGATTATGTTTTCTTTCATATTAACAACATTGCACAAATATTTGTTTGGGTTTATTTGGAGAAACAGACCACTCCCTTCAGTTTATTATTTATCTCTGTAAATTATTTACATAAAGCTTTGCTTTTTGTGTTTTATTTTGTCTTTTGTTTTCATGTTATTTGTAAAAATAAATAATATGCTGATGCTAATTTTAAAACTCCTAATGTGTTGAGAACTGTGTGATCACCGTTTTGACTCTTCAGTGGTCACTTCTTGAGTAAATTAAGCAAGATTTATTATCTAAAAAACCTAGAAGGACATGAACACAGAGAGTGCCACAAAGGTCATCTTCTTGAGACAGGTGAAGGTGCTGGTGTCCAGATCCTCACCTTTAGGGTACATAATTGTGAGAGGTCACATCTGAGTGAATAAACATCACATCAGTCCTTCCAGAAGCTCAGCTGTTCCTTTTCAAACCCAACCTAATACAAAGGAGGTTGGAGAACCAGTTCACTTAGATCAGAGGTTCAGTATGATTACTAAAGTAAATAACCCCCTACAATTTGGCCTGAAGAAATTTCTCATCCATAACACTCGGCCCATCAGACTAACTGAACTCCCACCACGTACATTCTTGAAGTCAGTGCTGTGGGAAAGAGGGGTCAGGTACTCAGACCTTTGGAAGTCATGCCAGTAGACCTTTAGGGCAGCTTTAGGGCTTATCCATCAATTGCAGAAAGGAAGAAATAATAAAAATCTCCCCCACCTGCAGCCCAAAGAAGAATTTTGTTCCTTGACATTACCTTCCATCTCCTCCTCTATCCCTGATTTTTCTTTTTTTCCTCATATTAGCACTTTCTTTTAGGGTCATTTCTTCCAGGTTTGTGGCATATCTTATACAGTGGGGCCTTGACTTACAAGTGTCCCGACTAACTAGTTTTTTGAGATACCAGCTGTCTCTCCACCGATTTTTTGCATTGAGTTGACAGAGTAATTTGAGTTAACGAGCTCCTTAACGAGCTCGGTCTCGGAACGAATTAAACTCTTAAGTCAAGGCCCCACTGTATACAGAGATTTCATTGCACTTCTTGGTTAGTTCCATTATTTTGAGATGTTATTTTGATTAGTAGAACTAACTAGCATGAGATTCTTCATCTCCCAGAATGTGCAAGCTCACTGTGAGCTCAGCATCAGTGGGCAGCTGTTGCTATAATTATTATTTTATAATAACAAATACCTCCCCCTTTCTTGATATTTAAAAACTGCATTGGTACAAGTGGCAAGAAAATTATTCAGTTCCCTGAATAGTATTTGTCCTCTCTTAGAGGGGAATAATTGTCAATAAGCAATTTATTGTTTAAAGAATCATCAATAAACAAAAACATGCTTTATTTGCTCTTTATCCTGCCCTTCATATTTCCTTTCTAGTCCTTAGTTTGATAAGTGATCTCAGCAAAAGAAACCATCAACAAAACAAAAAGGGAGCCCACTGTATGGGAGAACATATTTGACAGTGATACATCTGATAAAGGTTTAATATCCAAAAAATATAAGAAACTCATGCAGCTTAACAAAAGGAAGACAAACAATCCAATTACAAAATGGGCGAAGGACCTAAATAGGCTGGCAACTCTCTATCCCCGAAGCAGGGGGCTGAGGAGGCGACACAAAACCGGAGCTCGGAGATCCCGGGCCTGAGCCTCAGTGATGCCCGGACTTGTGTATACTCTTCCACCCAGCAATGCTAATTCAAGGAGTTGATCTTGAAAAACCACCTACGTGCCCAAAGGTGTTTGTGATTACAAGAAATTGGTAAATTAGTTTGCAAACCTAAGATACAGATAAGCTTCGTTTTATTGCGATTCGCTTTATTGCCTCCCACAGGTGTGGCAAACCCTCTACCTGCAAAAACATCACTCTTTACTGCCTTTCCGGCTTCATTGCCGTGGTATGGAAGGAACCGCAATTATCTCCGAGGTATGCCTGTGTTACTCCATCTTTTTAAAAGGTATTCATAAAAAACAGCAACAACAACAACAAAAACATGTACGTGGCATAAAATTAAATATACTTTATTAAGTACATTGCAGAAGTGTTAACGGTATGAACCCAGTTTTGTTTTTCTAAAACGTGTATTTATAGAAAAAGCAGCTTAGAAAGCTGTATACAGAAACGATTGACACGAGCTCGGTGTGTGCGTGGAGGGGTGTTAAAGAGAAGGTGGTGGGAGCTGAGGTCGTTTTGTTATCATAACTGCACACCTTCACATCGTTTGACTTTTAGGACCACAGCGCTTCTAAGACAGCAAAAATAAAGTGCACACTTAAAGCAAATGTTTTCCTCAGGCTCCAGGGCGTCTTTCCCTCCCGATGGTCTTGATTTGTTTCACTTTCACTCTCGGGGCTGGCAACTCTCTATCCCCGAAGCAGGGGGCTGAGGAGGCGACACAAAACCGGAGCGCGGGGATCCCGGGCCTGAGCCTCAGTGATGCCCGGACTTGTCCAGCGCTCAGACTCCGCAGTGACTAAAAGGCTGTCAATCCCACCCACCAGACGACGTTCCGCCCGCCCCCGAAGGCGCAGCGTTCCTATCCCTCCCTCCTCATCCTCCAATGGACGTCCAAGGGGGGCGGGATTAGCGCGAACTAGGCACACGATTAGCCCTGGAACCTCCCGCCCACGTGTGGGCGGGGCAGCGTGGTGACGTACGATCACGGGACGCAGAGGCGGAGAGTGCACGCTCGCAGACCCGGCGGTATTAAACGGTTGCGAGCGGAGCGTTCTGGTGATCGTCCTAGGTCTCAGGCTCTCATCGCTGCGGCAGCCCGCTCGCTCTGTCAAGCCTAGGCCGGCTACTCCTCCTCCTTCACTTCGCCTCTAGCCGCGTCGTTGCGACTCCGCCACCATGTTCGAAGCGCGCCTGGTCCAGGGCTCCATCCTGAAAAAGGTGCTGGAGGCGCTTAAGGACCTCATCAATGAGGCCTGCTGGGACATCAGCTCGAGCGGCGTGAACCTGCAGAGCATGGACTCGTCCCACGTCTCTTTGGTGCAGCTCACCCTGCGGTCTGAGGGCTTCGACACGTACCGCTGCGACCGTAACCTGGCCATGGGTGTGAACCTCACCAGGTGAGCCCGGGAGCCGTGGGGAAGCCGGGCCTCGGTCCCCTCGCTCCCATTCCCTCCCCCTCTTGGCGGGAGCTCCTCTGAGCTGGCCCTTCATTGGCTGGCGTGGGCCATCCCGCCCTCGCATTGGCCTGCTGGGCCTGGGGGCGGGACCCCGTGGAGCGCGCGCTTCCGAAAGCCCGCGCTGGCTGAGGCGGGAACTCGCTCGTTCAGCCCGAGTCACAAAGCGGGCGGTGGCGGGAAAGGGACGGGCTTCCCCGGGCTGCTAGGAAGACGCTCTTCCAGAGCCCTTTTGGGCATTAGGTGCCGGTGGCCTTGACTGAGAAACCATGGTCACGGGTGACTTATACTTATTTTTTAAGAGCTTTATTGTTGAAAGTATTACATATGTTTCCTTTTTTTCCCCATTGCCCCCCCCCTTCTAGCCCGCCCCCAGTCGTGGATGACTTTGACCGCTTTATCGTGTTCCCTACTTGTCTCCTTACTTAGGGACCATAGCTTATTTCTGGTTTTTTGTTACAAAGTTGTAGGGCTCACCCTCTTGAACTTGAGGAGAAATTTCTCCAGGGCAGTGGCTTTCAACTTTTATATATATATATATATATATATATATATATATATATATATGTGTGTGTTTAAAGTTTTAAAACCTTATGAGAAATATTGTCCCACTCTACGTGCTGTTGCGGGATTCTAGGGCAGGGAAAATGGGGAAAGTTAAAACAGGACCAAACAGGGTGGGCAATTTACAGCCAGCTTGTAAATAAGCCATTCTCTTCGCCCGCCAAGGGTACTTAGAGCAAATGGTTGAAAAGCTCCCTAATGAGAGAAGGGGGGGGAGGGGGGGCAGTTTTATTCCCCAAGCAGAGAAGCCAGCTGCCAGGTGCTTCTCGTGAATTCTGAGGAGGCCACAACAAAGTGAAGGGATCCTGGAGAATTCATCTCTGCCCAAATAGTCAGCAGAGGAGTTTCGAAACCTATAGACAGGAGGGTAAAGACCCTGCCTGGCTGGCTCCTCAGAGGAGCTGAGAGCCGGTCCGCGCTTCATCAGCCGGAGGTATTGGCCTGCTTTGCTTTTTCAATAAAGGTGCATGCGTTAATAAATTGGCTTTTCACAGCACAGTCAAGGTCTCTCATATTAATTCATTTATATGAAAAGTCAAGAAGCGAGGTTGGGAACAGGCCCCCCCCACCCCCCCCCACTGACTGAGGGGCTGCCATGTCTTCTAATAGCAGCATATTGTTTTTAATGGTCGTCGTGGTCCAGTAATTTACTCAGCCACTAAAAGGATCTGCAATTCAGAATATACTGCTTTTTCGTTTATATTCAAAAGTGGAGATTGGTGGGGGCAGGCTGTGAGCTTTTTCGCATTTAACTGCCAGATTGCATTCCGAAGTGGCTGGACCGGTTTACAGGTCACCCTGTAGTACATTTACCTAACTTGCCAGTTCCTCAGCCCCTTGGCTAAAAATGGTAACTCCTTGTTAGATGGCTTAACCTCTAACGATCAACATGGTGTGGCTTGTTAGGCTCTTGGCGGGTGATGCGGGCTGTGAAAGAGTTCACAACTAAAAGAAGAGATAGATCTGTGTAGAGAGTTTATTTTACTTTTCCAGAAGGAAAAGGGCGGGCGTATTGCTAATCAATACAAGGGCAAGAAATAAACAGCAGCTGCTCTTTTAAAGGGTAATGGCTGCTGTTGCTAGGTGACAAGAAAGGGAGGGGGTTTGGAGGTTGAAATTGAGCAGACTTAAGGGGCTTGCAGTTTGTTAGTTATTTAGAAGATAATCCAGACAGATGTCTTAGGGAGGTGTCTTACCAGTATTTTTTTAAAAATATATTTTATTGATTTTTTACAGAGAGGAAGGGAGAGGGATAGAGAGTTAGAAACATCGATGAGAGAGAAACATCGATCAGCTGCCCCTCCTGCACACCCCCTACTGGGGATGTGCCCGCAACCAAGGTACATGCCCTTAGCCAGAATCGAACCTGGGACCCTTCAGTCCGCAGGCCGACGCTCTATCCACTGAGCCAAACCGGTTAGGGCATCTTACCAGTATTTCTTCAAAGCCTGCAAACCATTCTTAGAGCAAGAGTTATGAAGAGTTCAAAAGTGGCTTGTTTGAAGAGTGAGGGAGGACTTTCTATTAACTATCCCTGAGTTGTAAAAACAACAAGGAGGAGGGTTATACAAAAATGTAGCCTTGAAAGTAACTTGTCTTGTAGTTTGAACAGAGGGACTGTTTGAATCAGAGGAGCTAACAATCTTGAATTTTAATTTAATCTTGGATTTGAATTTCTCATAAATTACTTGTCTCCTTACTTGGGGACAATAGCTTATTTCTGGTCTTTTATTACCAAAAAAAAAGGAAAAAAAGAGGCCTTTTCTTGTTCTTATACATCAATTTTAAATCCTGTGTCTTCTCTGTTCTAGCATGTCCAAGATACTAAAATGTGCTGGCAACGAAGACATCATTACCCTAAGGGCTGAAGATAATGCGGACACCTTGGCACTAGTATTTGAAGCTCCAAGTAGGTTATACTCTTCTACTGAGTTATGCTGGAGAAAATTAAAATGCAGCATCAGTATTTTCAAAGCTGTGAGAAATCTAAAATAATGTTTTTTGAGGCTTATAAGATTTACTTCATCATAGTTAGAAGCTTACATGCTTTTCTTCAACAATGTTTGCTTTCTTTTGGTAGACCAAGAAAAGGTTTCAGACTATGAAATGAAGTTAATGGATTTGGATGTTGAACAACTTGGAATTCCAGTGAGTATCAGTTTCTGATTGAGTGTACTGTACATGATAGCTACCTAAGATATGTTAATGTAGTTTAAAGCCTACTTCCTAACAACTATATATCTGCTGGTGCATGTTCCAAAGTGGAGTTACAGTACTCTTAAAAAATGGATCATTGGTTGACTTCATTGTTGCTGAATGCATATTAAGATTAGATTTTAGAACCAGGGGGCAAAAATTTATTAGATTAAGTTTATCAACATTAAAGGAGAGAAGTAGTGTTGGAATATCTAAAGTTCTTTTGTCTGGAAAGCAGTAGTCACGCTTGCACCATCTTTGTTCTTATGCCATAGTCTAATGCCTCTTTTTTAAAAAAATGTATTTTTATTGATTTCGGAGAGGAGTTGGGAGGAAAGAGAAATAGAAAAATATCAGCTATGAGAATCATTGATCGGCTGCCTCCTGCATGCCCCACACTGGGGGTTGAGCCCACAACCCAGGCATGTGCCCTGACCTGGAATGGAACCATGACCTCCTGGTTCATAGGTCCACGTTCAGCCACTGAGCCATGCAGGTCGGGCTCAAATGTCCTCTTGATTTAGCCCTGAAGGGTGATTTGGGGAAGCGCTACTTCCCTGGACTTTACTGTTAAAACGTTTAAACTCTACTTTGTTTTCTTAGTATAATTATTATTGTAACGTACTTGTTTCCGATCTGCATTTCTTTTTTGAGTGGTTGGAGTGCTTTAAGTCACAATAAGTTTCAAAGTAATTCTGAGTTCTTGTTTGGATCCTGATTAGATGGTACCTACCAAATCTTTAATTCCCAGTAATTGATCTTTAAGGGTTTTTTGTTGTTTTGTTTTATAGGAACAGGAGTATAGCTGTGTAGTAAAGATGCCTTCTGGTGAATTTGCGCGTATATGCCGAGATCTCAGTCATATTGGAGATGCTGTTGTAATTTCCTGTGCAAAAGATGGAGTGAAATTCTCTGCCAGTGGGGAACTTGGAAATGGAAATATTAAGTTGTCACAAACAAGTAATGTCGATAAAGAAGAGGAAGCTGTAAGTAGTTTTAAAGTAAACAGAAAAAAAAATACTTTGAAGAGAATTAGAACACTGCTTAATATTGGGTTAGTCTGTTTGGGCTGCTATAACCAAATATCATAAACCGGATTGCTTATAAGCAATGGAATTTTATTTCCCACAGTTTTAGAGGCTGGCCCTTTTGGTGTCTGGTGAGGACCTGCTTCTTGATTCATAGACCGCAGCCTTCTCACCTGGTGGAAGGGGCAAGGGAGCTTTCTAGGGTCTTTTGTTTTTACTGTTTCAGAGAGGTAGAAACATCAATGATGAGACTCATTTGATTGGCTGTCTCCTGCACACCTTCTGCTGGGGATCTAGCCTGTAACCCCGGGAAAGTGTGCCCTGACTGGGAATCGAACCATGACCTCCTGTTTCATAGGTCGATGCTCAACCACTGAACCACACCAGCTGGGCTGGTGTCTCTTATAAGGACATAATCCTATTCATGAAGGCCCTTGATTTTTTATAGAGAGGAAGGGAGAGAGATAGAGAGTTAGAAACATCGATGAGAGAGAGACATCGATCAGCTGCCTCCTGCACATCTCCTACTGGGGATGTGCCCACAACCCAGGTACATGCCCTTGACCGGAATCGAACCCATGCAAATTCAGTGTTTGCCTTATAAATCACTGAACAATGTGTTGGTGTATCAAACCCACACGTACTCTTAAGAATAGGATTGAGAAGCTAGGTGTCTAACCTGTAGGTTTCTGGAGGTGTTTACTCTGATTTTATCAAGTAATTCAGCACAGGACACCTCAACAGCAGGATCTAATTAGGGGTAAAAATCTAGCTGTTGGGCGCTCCTGTATAATCCACACTTAACCAAGAAATGTCCTTAAAATAAGGCTTTCTTGTAATCAAGTGTTTGGGGTTTTTTTTTTCCGATTCTTAGAGTGTTATAAACTAAAATTTGCTAATTGTACTAAAATAAAACTTGCTAGCCTGTGAACATCAGTTAATTCTGTAAATCAAGAACAATTAAAGGGCCTAATCACAAGATTATTAGGATTAAATGTAACGTTCAAAGTGCTTAACACAGTGTCTGGCATATTGTAAGTTTATAGTAAAGATTAGGTATTTTCTTATCCCTTGCTTGAGTAGTCAGCCCACAGATTAAATGAAGGTAAACTCCATTTAAAGGTAAATTCCATTCTTTATTTTTAATATTGAATGCCCAACAGTAAAGCTGACAATCCATAAGAAAATAAAAGGGTTGTTTTTTACTAATTTATTTCAGATTTATTCTTTTATTTTTCTTTTTAATTGATTTTTAAAGGGAGGGGGCGCATCGATTTGTTGTTCCATTTATGTGTGCGTTCCTTGGTTGACTCTTATATGTGCCCTGACCGGGGATTAAACCTGCAACCTTAGGACAGTTCTCTAACCAACTGAGCTGCCTAGCCAGGGCTCACATTTATCCTTAAATCTGTATAAAAACACTCCCACACTAAATGAACATATTATGTATACAACCTAGATAAGCTTATAACCATAATTTCAATGCACATCATGGTAATACACCTTCACATATTAAGTCTATTAAATAGCAAAACTGTAGGGACTAATTGCAACTTTGCTCTGTTTCCTAAATTACATTTCACTCCCCTTCCAACTTTGATTTTTAAAATTTTCTAACATTAGTTCATCCGTAAACATTTTAATATTACTTGGAGTATAAACATTAAACTTTACCACATACTATAAGAAAATTATTCAATATTAAGGAAATTTTGTGTTTCTATTTCCTTGGTCATGTTAGAACTGCTTGAATCAAAATTTTAAGAAGGTACATACATTGCATTGCAGTTGTTTTCAATCCATTGGTTTTCCGATTTGTTTTTGCCTCTCCATTACAATTTCACTTGTTGAAGAAACTAGGTCATTTGTCATTGAGCTTCGCAGAGTCTGGATTTTGCCAGTTTCATTCTTTATGTCAATTAATATGTTCCTCTACCTTGTATTTCCTATAAATTAGTAGCTACAGCTCTTGAGGCTTGATATTCACGGTTTCTTTGTTTTAGGGGTGGGAGAGCAAAGAATACTTAATAGATGGTGATATGTACTTTTGGTAGGAGTCATGAGGTATCTGAATACCTTTGTGATTTTTAGCACCTATAAATAGTCATTGTCTAGATTCATTAAGTCATGTTTTGCAGAGTTGTAATATATTAGTACATTTCATTCCTTTATTTATTAGCTGGTTTATTTTGTAGAGATACTTCCATAATGCTCTTATCACCTAATTTGGTTACCTGAGATTTGGTTCATATACAGAAAGACAAGCTAATACTTGGTTGTTTTGCTTTATTAACCTGTTTTCTAAATTAGTTTCATAGCACCCTCCGATGTAATCAATAAAAGTTTTTTTTTATGTATATTATAAATGACTAGGTTGTAACTTTCTTGACATTTTTTTCAGTATGATGAATCATTTGCTTTTTCCCCTTAGGTTGCCATAGAGATGAATGAGCCAGTCCAGCTAACTTTTGCACTGAGATATCTGAACTTCTTTACAAAAGCTACTCCACTGTCTCCTACAGTAACTCTCAGTATGTCTGCAGATGTACCCCTTGGTAAGATAATTTGTTAAATCTTGTTTTGTTTAGTTTTTTAAATATATTTTTATTGACTTCAGAGAGGAACTGAGAGGGAGAGAGATAGAAACATCAATGATGAGAGAGAATCATTGATCGGCTGCCTCCTGCATGCCCCCCCCACCCCCTCTGGGGATCGAGCCTGCAACCGGGGCATGTGCCCTGACCGGGAATGGAACCGGGGACCCTTTGGTCCGCAGGCCGACACTCTATCCACTGGGGCAAACCGGCGAGGGCTAAATCTTGTTTTGTAGGTATGTATATGATACGTCTCGGTAATTAACCCATGTTCCTGTCTTCTTTCAGTTGTAGAGTATAAAATTGCTGATATGGGACATTTAAAGTACTATCTGGCTCCCAAGATCGAGGATGAAGAAGGATCTTAAGTGGTTTTAAAATCCAAGAAAACAAAACTAAGCTCTTTGAGAACTGCTTCTGAGATTTCAACATGCTTTTAAAAGTCTCTTTTGTCACCAAATTTGTACCTGAGTACATATGTAGATAATGTTTTCTGTAAATAACCTGTTTTCCATTCTTTACAATTGAAAGCATAGTCTCAAGTCAAATCTGGTCTTATTAACCTAGAACTACTTCTGCCTTATATAGAAATAGTTGTTAGGATTTTTATAACAAAGGGTTTTGACTATTAATGCAGTTTTAATAATTGTGGGGGTTTTTTTCAATTTAAATAAAAGTTGTTTGAATTTCAGATATCACAGGACAGTGCCTTCATTTGAACCTTGACTGTTGCAAGTATCCTAGGGAATTCATAATTAGTGCTACCATTTTTGTGTAAATTTTATATATTTTTTTCAATCTAGAGCAGCCAGATATAAATACATTAGTATAGCCATAAAAAGTACTCCAAATGCAGTAGGTGACAAGATATTTGTGAAGATTCAGTTGTCACATTTATTTTTGTATTCTCACTTGAGCTCAAGAAATGAATGGGAGAATAGAACAAATTCTGTATGTTTCGTTATTTTGTCTTTTTTGTAAGCAAAAACTAACACTTTTTCAGAAACTTAATGCACTCAGTTATGTTGGTTTATAAGGCTAGTATTGTTACAAGGCAGTGTTTCTTTAGCCTAGGGAACCTTTTACAAGACTTAGAAGAGACTAGGTCTGTGATAGGGCCCAAGGAGTATGTTTGCAAAAAATTTTTTCTCCAGTATAAATAGCTTTATCTGAGACTTATCTGGCTTATCTCTTATGGTGTTGGGTTCAACCGAGAAAGTGAAAAGGCCCAGCAGTTGTGAAATAGGCTATTTAAACGTTCCCAGTAATTGTGCTTACAAGGTCACAAATTGGCATCCTACACACTGAAAGCTGTTTTATTACAATCCTTTTTCCTTTATATTTTATGTTTGGATTAAATAACTGGTTTCTTTGTTGTACCTGGACTTGAGTTCTAGTGATTGGACTTCAGAACTCACTGTATTCAGTGGGTAACCATTACTTTATGTTGCCTGGGTGGAAGGAGATTGGCAGCAGAGGGGCCTGATGGAGTTTTTGGAGTGATGAAAACAGTTTATCTAGACAGGTGATGGTCCAAGACTGCATTTGTTAAACCTCATCCAGTTGTACTTTTATGTAAATTATACCTTAATAAAGCTGACATTTAAAAGCTTTACGTGCGGCAAAGTGTTTCTTGCGGGCAGACCTCTCTCTTACCTGGGCAAGGCCTGATGGCCTAGGAGAGGGAGACAAGTACAAGAGTGGGGCCGCTGATAATAAAGACCATTATAAACTGATGATCAAAAATAGATACAGAGCCCTAACCGGTTTGGCTCAGTGGATAGAGCGTTGGCCTGCGGACTGAAAGGTCCCAGGTTCAATTCCGGTCAAGGGCATGTACCTTGTTTGGGGGCACATGCCCAGTAGGGGGTGTGCAGGAGGCAGCTGGTCGATGTTTCTCTCTCATTGATGTTCCTAACTCTCTATCCCTCTCCCTTCCTCTCTGTAAAAAGATCAATAAAATATATTTTTTAAAAATAGATACAGAGGCAGAGCAGCATTAAACAGACTGTCAAACTACAGCAGGAAGGCTGGGGAGGGTTGAGGGGTTAAGAGATCAACCAAAGGACTTGTATGCATTCATATAAGCATAACCAATGGACACAAGACACTGGGGGGAAGGTCAAGGGGGAAAAAAGAGAAATGCCCTACTCGTTGTAATATTTTAAGTAATAAAAAAGAGGGGCCGCTCCAGAGCGAAGTTGTTAGGTAATGACTGGCAAGACTACAGCTCGCCCCCTGAGAAGGGTGGCTGCCCTGGGCACTTGGCCCGGCAGCTCAGGTCCGACAGGATCGGCCTCCGCCTCCTGGGGGGGCGCCACTACCGGAGGGGCCGGGAGAGACAGTTGGCTTGTCCAGGGCCTCACAGCCAGGCGGGCTGCAAGCCCGAGAGAGCCCCGATCTGCCGACCACTGGCCTAGCGCGGGGTAGAAATGTTTCCGGAAAGCGGGTTGAGAGGGCGTCGCTCCCGGTGATGCCACTTCCGATGCGCCGCCTTCCTGTACGCCATTTCCGGCGTTGATCCGGTCTGGGCGGGGTGGGGCAGGTGGCGGTTAGGTGAAGTGTGTCATGAGCATCTCCGTTCCCAACGGTGAGCGGGCAGTCGACGCGCGGACGACTGGGCACGGCGCTCGGGTAAGGGGTGCGCACGGCGGGGCGGGCGCAGGGGTGGCCCTTCCGGCTCCCGACGGGGCGGAGGCGGCTCCCCGCTGAGCCCAGCCCCGAGTCCGCACCGCTGGCCTCTGTCCAGAAACCGGTTTAGTTTGTTTTCGGTCAGAATTCGTGTGGGTTCTTCTCTTCCTGGCGAGGTCCGGAGACAGGCAGGAAAGTAGTGTGTGTGCAGGCGCGTCGTGCGGCACTGCTGTTGCTTTTAAAATGACTGCAACACTGAGGGGCTGAGGGAATGGGGGGTTGCGTTGGAGTTGGTAAAATCCCTGTTGGGAACTTTGAAAACATCGATTCCCGTACTTCCTTTTCCCTCTTAGAATTCTTATTCCTCTCCCCTCTCCCTCACGGCCTGCGCTTTTTTGTCTTGTGGCGGGTGTATGAGTAGTTAATGGCAGAGCACATAAACTTTGACTAATGCAAATCAGAGGTGATTAAATGCCCTCCTAAACCCCCACATATAGGTAGTTTGGACTTTAAGTTTGATAGAGTTAAGTTTAGATTACCATGTAATCGGATCGCAACATTTAAAAACCTAGTATTTGATTCAGTTTAACCATTTGTTTAAAAAACCAACAGCAATAGGCCAAATGGAGTAACTTTTGCGCAGCCATGTAATCAAACCAAAAGTAAACCTCATTGCAGTTTGAGTCCGCTCTTTCTGCGGATAAAAACCTTCCATTGTGTACAACTCACCGCACTCCCTCTCAGCTGCTGGATGGATGCGCCTGTTTCATCACTTCAGTAATAGAGCCAATTAGATCTTCGAACTAGTTGAATTTTGTTATTTAACACCTTTTAGGGCGGCATATAAGTTAGCATACTCTTTTTCTTTTCAATACTTGATATCTGCACCAGCATGTAATTACTAAAAAGGGATATGAGCATTTAGCACCATTTCCTTTAGAAAGCTGCTTAGTTTAGGTTAAATGGAGGCCATTTAACATAACTCACTAATATCTGGGATTAAGTACATATAAAGCACCTGCCACCTAACCAGTAATTGTTTACTGCCGTTACTATAATGATTATTTATAAAGTGTCATAACAGAGGAAGGTCAGGCTTTGCTTGTTTGTTTTTTTGTGGCGGGCTGGCATGGCCATGGCCATGGCATACTCAGCCCCAGGGCGCCTTATGTGTAGTGCCAGCTCAGCCAGGTTCGGTGAGCCTGAGTGGGGGCAGTGAAGGATTGAGAAAAGACAAGAGAAGAAAGCTGGGTCTCGGTGGAACGCTGCCCTCTCTGATGGAGAGAGACAGCAGCGCCAGAGACTACAACCCGAGTCTTTATTTTATAGCCGGATTCCACGAGGCAAAGTAAGGGTGTGGTCAAGATGTTTACAACATTCTCGTGGGTTTTGATCCTACTCAATTACATGCACCTGAACTCTATCAAGCCCACATCATTCAGGCACCGGGGGCCACGTGTTCGGACCATAGGTTCAAGCTTACAAGTATAGCTGTTGGCTATAATTGTGCTGGGAGGGCCCTGCCCTCCAAGCTGGGACTTGCACGTGGCAATGAGAGGACTGTGCCCTCTCATCATTCCAAGGCTTGAACTTGTCCAAACACTGTAGCCGCTCTCCACATTTTTTTATGTTGCCCTATTGAAATACCTAATTTTCTCTTTTAGAAGAAATCAAATAGCTTCACGATCAAAGTAGATTTACTTCTTTTATATATATATATTAACAGTGGCTTTATGGAGGAAAAGTGTACAAATGTTTTTTATTCCAATGTCTTTTTTTCTCCTAATCCTCACCCGAGGATATTTTTTCCATTAATTCTCTACAGATAGTGGAAGGGAGGGGCGTGGGGTGGGGGATGGGGGGCGGGGGATGGGGGGGGGAGAGAAACAGATGGGACAGAGACACATGGATTGATTGCCTCCCACACCAGGGCCAGGGCGGGATAGAACCTTCAACCTAGGCACGTGCCCTTGCCTTGACTGGGAATTGAACCTGAGATCCTTCCGTTCTTGGGCTGACACTCCAACCACTGAGCCATGCTGGCCAGGGCTCAAATATGTGTGTTTTTTGTTGTTTTTTAATTTTGTAAGAGTTTATTTGAACTAAAACTGACTACATAGGCTGGGGAGCAAGATCTCAAATGTTCCTAAATGTCATTGTTTTTAAATCTTATCTACTATCTCTTAAACAAGTGACTAAATGGCCATGATTTTTTAAAATTATAGAAGTAATCTGGAAAATGAAATCACTACTTTCACTGCTTGAGTGGGGCAGAGAGGCAGGAAAATCAGAAGCCACTGGTACAGTGCTGATAGCCAGGAGCTTATCCAAATTTACAACAAGAAGCTTTACAAATCATTTTCATTAACAGCATGATATTCATCAGGGGGAAATAGGCAAAATGTAGATATGAGTGTAATCTATTCCCCACCCTCTCTCTCCTTCCTCCCTGGCAAATACGAGAATCACTTGAGTATATGCTCCTCTTGCTTTTTTCTGAAGCAGGGACAAGAGGCAAACAATACTATAGCACAGCAGTTCTCAACCTGTGGGTCACGACCCCTTTGGCAGTCCAACGACCCTTTCACAGGGTTGCCTAAGACCATCCTGCATATCAGATATTTATATTACAATTCATAACAGTAGCAACATTACAGTTATAAAGTAGCAACGAAAATAATTTTATGGTTGGGTCACAACATGAGGAACTGTATTTAAAGGGCCAGAAGGTTGAGAACCGCTGCTATAGCAGAATGGTTGAAAATTTGGACTTTGCGTAAGTCCAAATGATGCTACCTTGTACCATTCTGGCTACTGGAATCCCCAATAGTAAAGTGAAATACTTAAGATTCGCCAGCATAGAAAAAAAAATGATTATCCAGCATAGATAATGGCTACATTGACCTTCAGGTAGACTTGGACTTAAGTCATTACTCTTCCACCCTGTATGACTTTGGAAAAATTAGGAGGCAAGGGAATGTCGGTGGCAAGGTACATATGAGTTCTGGTTCTTGGTCATTGTCTTGACTTTCATTCTACCAGGACAAACCAGAGTGGATATATAATGGGGCTATTTTCATTTTGTTAAAAGAAGATCAGGTTCTAAGAGCAGTGGAGCCTAAATTGCCAGTTGCTAGTATGTCATCACAGCCCAAAACTCCAAATCACTGCATCGGAGATGCCTGAATTTATGAGCTATAAAACACCGTTGTTGCTTGCAGACGTTAACAGTGTTCCTTGTTTTCAGACTGTAGCTGTGTCAGTGTGTTATGATGCCATCTCGTACTAACCTGGCTGCTGGAATCCCCAGTAGTAAAGTGAAATACTCCAGACTCTCCAGCACAGATGATGGCTACATTGACCTTCAGGTAAGTGCACAAGAGAGCTGATGAGACTGGCTGGCTCTGTTTCTGATGAGCTAGCAGGAAGACCTGACGGTAGAGGTTTTTGCTAACTGTCCCTGGGGATTAGAGGGAGCAGCAAGAAAGAAACCCAGCACCTTTCAGCCATAGCCTGCAGAAGGAGGGATCTTGGCAGAGCTGTTTCAAACCAATATGAATACAGTTCCTTTTTAAGCATTTTTAGTTGTAATGCTAAAGCCCAGCAATTGCAAATTTTATTTAGTTTATCTGAAAAATAATCCGGCTGTTTTGTTAAGTAGAAAAAAAATGTTAAGGGCTATGTCATCAGTTTGTTTATACTTTAGTCAAAGCCAGTTCACCTTTTAAGGGAGAAACTAACGGCTAAAGCCAGCAGATTGTGAATTCCTTCCTCTTTCCTGACGCCATGAGATCCAATTTATTAAAGGTATTTTTGGTGGCAAATGGTAAGTAAAACAGAGTATTTATTAAGCTTGTACCCTACCCTGATGATTTTTTAAAAAATATATTTTATTGATTTTTTTACGGAGAGGAAGGGAGAGGGATAGAGAGTTAGAAACACCGATGAGAGAGAAACATCGATCAGCTGCCTCTTCCACACCCC